ACCACTTCCCTTGAGTTTTCCGTTGCCAGCATGATTTTCCTGTTGCTTGGAAGTGAAAGGGATTTCTTAGGAATCACAGAATCACAGAATTATAGAATTATTTTGGTTGGAAGACACTTTTAAAATTGAGTCCAAGCGTTCCCCCATCCCTGCCAGGTCCCCACTGCCCCGTGTCCCTCACCCCACATCTCCATGGCTTGGAAACCCCTCCAGGGGTGGGGACTCCACCACTGCCCTGGGCAGCCTGGCACAGCCCTGGGCAACCCTCCAGGGCAAGAAATTGTTCCTCAGGGACAACTGAAACCTCCCCTGGGGCAACTTGAGGCCCTTTCCTCTTGTCCTATTGCTCGTTCCCTGGGAGAAGTGACCGACCCCCCACCTGGCTCCAGCCTCCTGCCAGGAAATAATGGGCTTTACAGGGTAAACATGGACAAAGCAAAACCATGTAGTACAGGTATAGGTAAAATAATGCTGAGAGTTGTAAAATGGGAAGAAAAAAAAGAGTCACTGTGATACAACATTGGACTGAGACTGTGGAGGTTTGAGCCCTGATGCCCAAGTCTGCCACAGACTTCTCTGTGCTGGAACATGTCCCTCACCTCTTGGGAGCTGTCTGCTTAGCACTTGTCATTTTGTCTCTTCTGGTGGAATAAAGGGCTTATTAGCTCTGTCTCAGCAGCAGGCTAATGCAGTCACAGAAGCTCTGGGCAGGAGCAGGAGCTCACCTTGCCAAGTCACAGGGTGGGCAGAGGGAGCCCGCATCTGCCCGGCGACGGCCACGGGGCCAGGCTCCTGCAGCTGATGGGAAAACGGCTCCACCTCCCACAGGAAACAAACCCACTGCACCCAGAGGTCACCCCCCTGCTCAGGAGGGGCCATCAGGGATGGCACAGCCGTGCTGGTGGGCTTGCCACCAGCTCCTGCCCACCAGCAGCCGCTGAGAACTTCACCGTGTATTAACAAACCTCCCTTCCACCACCTTCCCCTAAACCCTGGCTCTAAACGATCCTGCTGCACCCATTTTTAGTAAAACAAATTAATTAGTCGCACATGATCCTTTCCTATTTAATCTCTCCCGCAGAAAATGGGGTGAAATTATTTATGAAAAGTATGTTAGGTCCAAAATTAATTTAATTTCATTGATATGCTGTTAGTATAAACAGCGCTGTTATAGACTGTGCTATAGTAAAAATAATATTTGCAGTAATAATTATTAAAGCAGCTGAGCTCGGTGTGGGGAAAAAAAAGGACAAAATTCCTAGCACAGGGGCCTTGGAAAGGCTTTTCCCTTCTGCCCAGAAAAACCTGACCCCATCAGTTGGTCTGATAAAAGTACTTCTTCCTTCTTTGATATCCTCCGACTCTTGTGGCAACAACACCATTGCAAATTACTATTATTACAAAATTATGCAATTTATACTTTTTCCCCTGAATAACGTTTCAGAAGGCATTCAGTATGGTTGTTTAAGTGGTGAACGCTACTTAGGAGGGGATAAACACTGATTTACATTTCTAAGTGTCTTTTAACATAGAGAAGACAGTGTCAGTGTGAAAATCTGTAGGGAGTGGGAGATGGCTTGGAGGATGGAGGGAATAATCGTGTCACATTTAAGCCTGTATGATCTGTTTCCACAGAAAAAGGTTAGAGATCAACAAATTCTCAGTTTAGTTCAGTAATAAATGAAGGTTGGCTAGGGTATTAAGTTTCTAGGGGGAAGTATTAGCCAGTATGTACAGCAGCAGCCTCTGGTGGTCTAAGAAAAAATGGTAGTATCTGTAAGTAAGGACTGAAATATGCTTTTTAAAAGGATGTAGGCACATATTTAGCTATTTGACTCAGTCCTCTGCTCAACACCTTAAAAAACAGATGCTTTTGAAACGATCTGCTGGCAATATGCTTGTTAAAATCTGAACAGTAAGAGTATTAAAATTCATATGCATTCATTAGCATTTTATATAAAAGTAAAATGCTTTTGTTTAATCATGCCATAAAGTATTATAGTCAACGCTGATTATCAAGAAGTTTTTTTTTTTTCCCCTTGGTTTGCATCGACAAAGAAGAAACCAAATTTGTAAGATTGTTACTGAATTGATGACATTTTCTGTCTTCACTCACGAATGTAGTTGGCAGATGTTTTCAGGAACAAAAAATTCTGTCTTGTTACAAAACATATTAAGCAGGTTTTTCTGCCATAATGTTTGACATGATGTTTATTGCCCAGACCAAATCAGTCCCTTTAACAAGCTATAATGTATGCCAGACAGTACATTATTTCATAGCTCAGGAAACTTCCAGCATGAAACGATAAGTACTTTGATCTTTCAAGCACTATGCTTAATGGACTACACACTCCCATAGAGGTTTTCATTTGTACTCATTTTGTAAGAAAAAAAAAAACTACAGTGGGACTTGAGATTTTGTATTTTAAGACTCTGCTTTTCCATGTTCTTGAGTATCCCAGCTATATGTTCTGGTCTTTTTTTTTTTAATTTCTTTTTTTGTTTCCCCCCCCACGAAAATAGAATACTTAAAGAAATTTACCTTGGGAGAGTTTCATTTTTCCAAATCTTGGAAAACCTAGTGGGAGTGTCATCTAGACAGCTTTAATTTGTTCAAATGGCACTTCCTCATCAGATCACAACAGATCTCTATGACCCTATGAGAACATAATCAAGGATATTTATTCCTACTCCTTCGCAGTCTGAAACAGTTTCTCCAGCACATTTGACACAAACAAATTTTCTTTTCAGTGTTTGAGGCAGCTGATGCCTTCTTGTGAGGATGTTTTTCATCTAGTCTCTCTGCATCAGTTCTCCCCATTTGGCAAAGGTGACCTACAACTCGCTCAGGTTTTTCAAAACCCCTTCATAAGATCATGAAGAAGCAAACACCACCCTTAAAAATCTCTGTGGAGTGACAACACGTTTCATTTCAAGAGCCCAGTGAGTCCAACCTACGCCACACCACTCCATAAGTGAAGGTCCTATCTAGGCTGCCCTTTGAGATGACCCCAAACCAGCTCCAACACCACACTGCACCACTTTGTTTGTGTTGTGTGATGCTTGGGCAGATGGACGACCGTGCCTGTGGCCAGGAACGTTGAGCAGAGCACACTGTGTTCACAGATCCTCTTGCAACCACCTACAGACTCAGCAGAGTAAACGGCACCTATGGGCAAGCCAGCTTTGTTTCAGAAACCAACAGGCAAGTAAATGGCAATAATTTGTCCTGCCACACACCAAAGCACGGACGTTTTTCATTCTCTTTCAAAAAAACTCCCCGTCCTGAAGCCTATTAAAGGAAAAAAACCCAAAGAATTATTTCAGAGTAGAAGACTAACCCATCAGAAAACCTGATTTCAGTTAATTCGCCCAGGAATGCAGACCATCACCCACACCTTTACTAAAACTTACACCACTGCTTTCCTTGGTTTGAAGAAAATCAAATAACGTTGTATTTGAGGCACAGAGCTGTGCAAAAAAGAAAATGAGATGGAGTCATGCCTTTTATGTTTCAGGGGTCAAACCTCCTGAAGCCAAATTTCATGCCTCATCAAGCAAAAGAGCCACAAGAAGGTGGAACTGCTAAAAAGGTATCAAAAAAAAAGAGGGTTGATTTTCAACAAGGGGACACTGGACCTGCATGGTGACTCAATGCCTTTCCGGAGAGCACAGCAACATCTTTAATGGGCTTCTGGTGGACCTGGAGACAAGCCTGGTTGCCCCTCTGAAGAAGCATTGTCTGGCTGGTGGGGAGAATGGCACCTCTTGTACAGAGCACTGGATAGAGGAAAGGGTCCCCTGTTGGTGACTTCAAATACCTGTGTGCATCCTTTTGTTCCCCATGCTCAGCGATGAGATTATTCCTCAAAAGACACACTAATATTTATGGCATTAGTGATCATCTGGCATCCAGGTCACAGACCCTTTTTAACTGGCCAGTAGAGCTGTGCTTCTCCTACAAATCACGCTAAACCCATGCTAACAGGAACGGGTTAAAATCTAAGATGATTCTAACATGTCTTTTGCTGGATTTTTCCCTGTTACCCACCAGAAAGGCATATACATTTTTACCCTTTTAACTGCACGGTGGCGTTTCTGAACACGTTTCACTATTGAATGAAAATGCTAACTTTCATAATAAAGGCTTTGGAAATTGCATGACTCAGTCTCGGATGTATAATGCATAGTATGTATATGAAGCAGAATGTGTCAAAGTGCAAATAATATTGTTTGTGCCCCCTGCAGAATTAGAAATCCTCGGGTAGCGCTGTTATAACGATCCCATGCTGGTAGCATTACAAAGTGCAGAGGTTCACTGAGTAAGAAAAGAGCAGGGGACAGAGTTTCCTCATTACACCATTCTCGAACTATTCTAGCTTAAATATTTATTAAGATATTAATAACTCTCCTCCTTTATCTGCCTTCAGAAGTTCAGCTGAAACACAATGGATGGCTGCTCATACGAAAACAATACATTATAGGGTAAGTCTGCTACCACACAAGATGAACACTGGTGTTTTCCACAATATATTATTAATTCAGCAGGTAATATGTTAAAAAACTATCAGGTTATAACTACTGCCTCCACAATATAAGACAATATAATATAATAAATGCATGCATGACATGTGAAGCTAACAGACTGCCTGAGCTGCACTAGGCAGCGTTTCTTACGCACACCTCTGTTTATAAAATCATTTTTTTTTCACAAAGTCTCCTGCAAATCTTTCTCTTTCTTGATGGCACCAGTGAGTTCCTCAGGGGTTCATCTGAAGTTCTGCTTTTGAAATCAGAAAGGAATGTTTTGTAACTCTTCCCAAACTTCACATTCAGTTAAGGGACAAAAAATACCAATAGAATAAAAAACTCTCTACGAAGTCCTGAATGCCAGCTCAGAAATCTGTTATTTTAAAAGCACGCTGTTCGTTCGCTAATATGGACATTAAACACATCTACGCATCATTAAAGAAGGGCAAGCAAAACCAAAATAAACTTACTCTAATATACATCTGCATAGTTTCTTTTTCTTTCTGCGGATTTCGATACTTTTCGTAGAAGTCACGTCGCTTCTTTGTCTCCTTCTGGATTTTATCTTTTCTTTCCCTCTTTTCTGCAGGTTCATCTGAGCTATCAGAAGACAGCTGTACTTGGGCTTTTGTCTTCTCCACTTCAATATAGTTCTCATTGGGATTCAGTACTATTACTCCATAGCCTTCCTGTTTGAGGAACACACACAAAAAGAAGAAATATGACAAGGGGCAGTGCTTGAAAATGCTTTGCATGTACTGTAGTGTTTTTAAAAACTTTTATCTTTATTTCAGTAAGCTCACACCACGTAATTTATAGGAAGGTGTTTTAAGAATATTCTGTTTGTTTAATTTCTGTCATTAAAGGGATATTGATGTGTGAATACGTGTCTGTGCGTGCACCTATGCTCATATGCATCCCCTGGTGTTAGAAAAGTTGCCTGTTTTACCTTTAAAATAATTTAATATGTTGTTTTATTCATAAGCACTTTTTCCAGAAAACAGACCGAGATCTACAAGCAAAATATTATTTCAAGAACTGTACATAATGATGAATAAAAAGCTTTGCACCCAGTCAGCAAAAAAACTTTAAAATAAAAAGGATGGAGGGATTTCATTTGTATATATTTATATTTATATTTTTTTT